CTCCTTGGAGACCAGGGTGGCCAAACTTCATCTCTCATACTACGGGCATATTGTCAGGAGGGACCAGTCACTGGAAAAGGAAATTATGTTTGGTAAGGTGGAGGTTCAGAGAAAAAGAGGAAGACCCCCATTGAGATGGATTGGCAGAATGGCAGCAACAATGGATTTGAGCATGGCAACAGTTGTGAGTTTGGCCCAGGACTGGGCAGTGTTTCATTCTGTTGTGCATAGGGTCGCTATGAGTTGGTACCAACTCGATAGCAGCTAACAAAAACAAGAACAACAACAACAACAACAACAGAGGTTGATGCTAATATACTTGGAGTTCACTGGCTGCTACTGGAAAATAGATAGCAGGAGCATTTCATTTATCACATATTTTAACAGTGCTAGCAATAAAATCCACATAGTAAAAGATATGTCTGTTCATGAGATCTGAATGCGGCATAAAAGATATTGAAGTAATAATAATTTAACATTTATAATACCTAACTATTCAGAATAGTCAATGCAAAGCCTGACATATTGTATTTTGGGGCTCAAATTATTTAGGGTGCCTCTTTCTTTAGATATATTGAAACACTCCTAAGTTAAATCATTTTATAGTTTTTACTTGAAACATCTTAATTACGTAAGAAATACTTTTTAATCAAAGTGATTGCTTAGAAAGTGAACTATAACTGCTTTAGAATATTTTGTTAGTGAAAACAAATTTTCATTTAAGAAGATCACAAGCATACATGTAATGTTCAGGGGTAACTTGGTTGAGATGGTGCTGTTTTGGAATGTTTCTTAATATATGCTCAAATTCTTCTGTATTCTAATAATGGGCAAGCTTCTTGTGGAGGAGCAATTGCAAAAAGCGCATATAAACTTCTACTGCAGCAAGAGAATCATTAGGGAATCCATTAGGAAGAAGTTTATCTTGTGGTTTTATTCGTTAAAATTGTAATTGAAAGCAAATTCATTAAAGTGAACCAATCACCTTTTAAGTTTTGCAGAAAGTGGCATTGCAGTGTACAGCTGAAAGGTCAACAATCCCACGGTACAAAAAAAAAAATACTTAAAGATAAATACTAATCGTTTCTGGGTTTGATTCTGATTACAGCCTTGCTTATGAGATATTCTGTTAAAAGTTCACAGAGGAATAAACAGAAATAAGGAACTTGAAACTCAAATACCAATTCTGGAATCTAGATTTTTTTTTTTTCAAACCAGGTCCTTAAAAAAAATTCACATGCAAATTTACAGATTTGCTAACTTGAAATAATCCCCCCAAAATAATTTTATCCATCTAAACGACTGCTGGTTGATCTTTTGTATAAGAGCAGTGGAACATTGTTGGATAAACCACGGCACTGTAAGGTCGTTTTGAACCACAAGGTTGGTGGTTCAAACTCACCAACTGCTCATTGGAAACTATACAGGGTCATTATGAGTTGGAACTGACTGGATGGCACTTAACTAACTAACTAATGCAAACATGCTACAACATAGACATAAAAGAAAAAAAAAAAACATGCATTTTTTGTTGTTCATAATATCTGAGTAATTGGTCTTGAGATATTATTAATCAATATGCCTAAAACTTGCTATCGATATTCAATAGTGATTCATTCCTTAGATTTGAAAAAATATTATGCCTTATTACATGAAAATCTCAGGCTGTAAATATATCCTAAAACACATAATAAAAGTATTTAATAGTGAGTATAATAAGGAATTTGCATAACTATCATGAAATATGTGCATATTAATAAGAAAATACTGTAAATACTCTGCATAGTCCCTTACGTTAATGTTTGCCACAGGCATTGAGCTCGAGAAAAAAAAAAAAGTGACATGACAGCCTTTTGAGATCATTATCATAATACTTCTTTTGTATGAAAAGTGAAAGAAGAAAAGTGTACAAATTATAAACTCATGCCCAGTTTTACAGGATTAAATATTGCTAGTAGATGCACTAGTAAAATTCGTATGGTTTAAAACTATCATAGAAATTCAGGCAAAGTAAAAATTTCCTCTAAAATAACATTTTTCTAAGTCAAATAAAATTTTGGGGCCATATTAATTGCTGGCATATTAATACCTGGCCGACTGACTGGAAGAGATCTGTATTTGTGCCCATTCCAAAGAAAGGTGACCCAATGAGATGTGGAATTCATTGGACAATATCTTTGATAGCCCATACGAGTAAAGTTTTACTTAAGGTAATACAGAAATGGCTACAATCATACATTGACAGAGAACTTCCAGAGGTTCAAGCTGGATTCAGAAGAGGACGGGGAACAAGAGATATCATT